CTGCATTATTAATATTACTACCCTTTCCTCTGCATTCTTTTTCAAGGCCTCTCAATTGCAGTATCCTAATTGTTAATTTCATTCAAAGTTGTTTTTTGTTGCCATAACAGGATATGACAATACATCTATGAAATTTAAACGTATTATTGTTCAGGGATCAGAGTCACCTTCAGTGGCAGGATAAACTTTTTGTACATAATATGAAGTCACATACAGAAAGATAAAGGTTAAGGAACATCACTGAAGAGTGCATAGAGTGAAGGAAGCTTTATACATATCTGACAAAAGTCTACATAAGAAAATTTGATATAGAATTTAATGCTATATACCTACACTTAAGAGAATAAAAATATCATTGATGATTATCCATAACCAAAAAACAGTATTGGTAACATTTCATGTATTTGGGAAGTTTAGCATGTACTGATCTACTTAATACATGAATCTAAAGATATTTTTTTCAAAGAATCTTTGACACACAGAACTGGAATATTCTATAGTAGAATAAAGGAAAAGAAAAGCCCAACTGATGAATTAAATACATCTATACAAAAAGTACATTGACTGAAACAAAATCTAGCCAGGATGAGCATACCAGGTCAAATAATTTCTGGAAGAGTGACAAATTTCCGTTGACAAAGGAGTTTCAGTCAGTTATGTGCCATGCGTGATACACACTTAGGCGATCATGTATCTTTTAATACATGACTGACAAGGCAGATTTTTCGCCACAGTAGGTTGGTATTTCTTTCTGCGGTAGACCAGTTGCTATCCAAGGCTACAGAACCCAGTCTGTCCTGCTATTTACCCATAGCTGGGGAGGAGAAGAGGATTAATACCTTTCCCAAGTGTATTAGCATGTAAGTGAATGTAATGGATTCGACTGGAATTCGAAGTCGGTTCTCTGATTCCTCAATCTGACCTGCTATCCATTACTCCATCATGCCACTTCCTTACAATAAGTAAGTTTAGTAAGTCATTGATGAGTTTAATCTCAAGGCTGCCTGATAACATGTAACCTTGTGTCAGATTAGGTAGCACTTTATAAATATCTTGAATGACAACTATCATCAGCTTTATCATGTATCCAATAATTTCTTCTTTGTTGATTGCTTTCTTTATGATGATGGTGTTGATGACTAAATTCACTGCCAATATGCAAAGTTCAGGACCACTAGATTTCACTTTCAACAAAACCTGCTCCTGTCATTCAGTCCCTATTGCCATTAGGCTTTGCAAGAGTTGGTTGAAGTGAAAAAAAAATCAGAGTAAAAGAAAGTGCAGATGACATGAATTTGTTTAAGGTGGACCTCAACTTGTCAGGAATTGACCCACATACTTGATTTTATGACCTTCCTCTGTGGCATATATAGAACAAGACATGTAACAGCTATAGTATAATGGTAAACAGGTTAGTCTCAAAAATTACTACTGCCAAATGCAATCCATACTAAATGTTTAATTACTGTGGCCTTGTTCCAGACTAGATAACACTGAGTAAACATTTTTAATGACAGCTTTATAACAATGGCTAGCAAGTTAATCTTTTAAGTTGCTGCTGTTGATGTTGATCCAAACTATTATTGTGATCTTGCACCAGACAGGGTTAAGCTTTAAAAAATCATAAAAATGATAGTCATGCAAGCTGTTGCTAGTGAATTTTTTGCTTCAGTGGCTGAACCATTATTGTGACCATTTTCAAGATATGTTAATTGCAATAAACAAATATTGTTCAGGTCTTTCTTTTTAATATACTGGTCTTAAGCTATAATGTCAATACACAATATACCAGCATGCATTTAAGTTTTTTATTAGTAGAAATAAATATTATTAATTAGTCATCAATGTATTTTCCTGGTTTTCTATGACAATATCACTATTCAGTTAAGTTGTGTATTCTGTCATAAAAGAATGATTTCATTTTCACTTTGATCAATTCTTTGATGAGTAAAACAAGCAAGAGTCTGAAGATGACAGATCTGGACAATGTATCATATCTTGAAGAACTTTCCATTCTAGCTTTGATTATTTTATGTATCATATTTGTATCCTGAGGACAAACACTGTCATGCAGCCAAGTCAGTTACCTACCAAGTAAAAAGAATTACAACTATTCCTAAGAGAGAATTCTGTAGGTATTGTTAGTTCATACAATAGAAGTCCCAATGGCAACACAATGTAAACAGTTACTAAGTGAGATTGATGTAAGGGAAGAGGAAATAAGAAATGCATTTTATAAGGATGTGTATCTCTCAGACAAACACTGTCATGCAGCCAAGTCACTGGTTGACTTAACTATTCAATAAAAAGCACTTACTATTCAAATTTGTCATTCAAATGAGCCAATTGCTTACTTTTGCTGTAGGGATCTGTACAGCGTCCAACAATTTGTAATAGAGAATTTCCTTTGAATAATTTTCTCTTTTTCATTTTATTTGCTTGAAATGTTAAAAGTTGTTCTGTAATGAGTCAATATTTTAAATACTGAGTGATGTTTATGTGAAACCTATTGTCTTAGTTTATGAGGTCTTACCTGACTTGTAAATAATGTACAACTGATTGCATAAGCTGAGTAAACTTCAAAGCAACTTTCCGAACATTATGCAAAATTTGGAAGGGAGTCTTTTGTATCAAATTAACAGAAAGAGATCTATGACAAATAAGATTCTTTAAAGAGTGTAATATTATCAATGGATATAATATTAACCATCATCATCCTTTGGCCTCCCTATGATTGGTCGGAATTCCATTGACAATCCCTTTCCACACTGCTTGGTCCTGCAGTGCTGTCCTCAGATCTCCAATGTCCAACCCTGAGTCCTGAGCTATGGTGTCTGGGAAAGTCAATTTTCGTAAGAAGCTACTTCCATAAGGATGCCATAGGAGTAAAGATGAGATGGTTTCCCTGTTCACTTGGTGGTAGTGGCTGGCAAACTGTAATTGTTTTTGCCTGCACTTTAACAGAAGGCACTTTTTCTTTATTAAATCTTTCAAGTGCACAGGCAGGTAGACATAAATTTATACTGTTTTAAAAAACAGAGACATCTAATCAAATATGTATATCTAAAATAAACTAAATATAACATTTCAACTAATAAGAAACATATATGGATGACGCTGTGTTGATAGCAGACTCAGAAAGAAAACAAAAAAAACAAACAAAAAAAAAAAACAAACAAAAATCTCTTAGACAAGGTAGTAAAGGGATGCTAGAGAAGAAAACATTATTAACTATAAGAAAAAGAAAACAGAATGCATAGTTGTCAACAAACATGACAACTGAAGAGAAAGTTAAAGATGCCTTGGGGAAACAAAGCAAGGTATTAAGATATAGGGAAATGTCCTTAGAAACAAAGAAAAGAGTGCTGGACTGATATATAATCATCTATATGGCAATAAATGTTGGACAATTTCCTCACAGATAAAGAATATATTTGAAGTAACTGAGATGAGGTTCTACAGAAGGATGCTGAGAATAACTATTTATTCCTGTCTTAGTAGCAAGTATAACAGATCCAACATAGTAAACCTGGTAAATACTATTGAAAATGACCTCCAATCAGTGGCTAACTAAAGCAAGAAATGGCTTGTAAATTTTAAGTCTCCAAAACAAAACTGCTTTCATTTAATTACCAGAGGGAACCTTTTCTGCCTGCCATCGGCATGGTTGGTGCTAAACTCCAGGACATTGTGGGTTCACATTTTCCATTGACATGAAATGGCGTGACGATATTGAATCAATTGTTACATCTTTTGTTCAGAAAGTTAGTTCACTGTGTCATGCCTGAAAATTTTTCTTGTCAGAATCCATTGTGTATGTTTATAAATCTACCATTTGTCTGTGCATTGAATATGGCTGCCATATCTGGTCTGGTGCTTCTGTTGTATATCTCAAGATCCTTAACAAAATTCAAAAAAGGGTCTGTAATGTAATCAATCCTGATCTGGCATCTTGACTATAGTAACATTCTTACCTATGTCACATGGCTTCCCTCTCAGCTTTCCACAAATATTTTCATGGCAATTTTTCTGATGAGCTTTTTTCTTAGTATCTTGACTACATGAATTTAAGTGTGTTACTAGATTGGTAACTAGGTCTCACCATTTTACTGTTATTCTTCTAACAGTTTCTTTTCTTGCACTTCTCAGCTGTGTAACTCCCTCTTGTTTCTCTGCCACTTACAATCTTCAAAAATTCAAATGCAACATCAATCGCCATCTTCTGTTTTCCTGAACCCTATATCTTTATTATACTTTCCTCACTACTTCTCACTAACATCTCATTGTCTTTCACTCCCTGTAACCCCCCCCTTACATCTTAGTGGCATTACCACCTTGCCTAGGGTGCAATGATTAAAAAAGCCCAAAATACTGATTGATCATGGGAGCAATGAGTTTTGAGGGAAACTGTGAACCATAAGAAAACTGATATTTACAATCAGAAAGAGACAGCTGAAATCTCTGGGATTTATGAGGAAATTGTGCTTGGAGAACTAAACACTTGCAGGACATATTGAATGTAAAAGAAGCAGGGGAAAAATCAAGTAATCCTCTTAATGAGTATGAGTGAATACATGAGAGAACAAGTTGAAAGAGAGATGGTCAAAGGAAAAAGTTTTTTAGAGCAACAAAATACAGGAAGTTGTGGAAAGCCATGATTGCTCAGGCCCTGAAATGATATGGCAAATAAAAGAATAAATATTTATTGCTGGAATTATTGCTTATAATAACTGACACTCTTTAAATCCTAACTGAATGGTTTGATTGATTTGTTTTTACAGGTTATCAACATTTTGCAGGTTATTTAAAGCCAAAAAATATTTTTAGATTGTAAGAAGTTAATGATTTTTACTGTTGCAAGTTCTACTAATTTACTCATAGATAGGGTAGAAGATGTGGATTCAATTCTTTCCTAAGTGTTTTGCACATAAATGAATATAATAAAACCAACTGAAAGTGGAACTTGGCTCTCCATTTTCCAATTCTGTGCCGTTACAAGCTTACAGAACCTGGTGATTCCAAGAAATAACAGTACTAGGTACTGACCAGGCTCTATGTTGCTTAACTTCGGTGATCACATGAGAACCAGTGTTTCAATGTGATATGGCTGCAAGCTGTAAGCCTGAATGGTTTGAACAGAAAGAAACTTAGAAGATAATGACAATTGAGTTTTTGGAAAGCTTTTGACAGTTGTAGATGGAATTAGGACTGATTTTTACAACAGTAAAAGACTAATAAAGAGAGAGAAAATTGGTTACATACTGGGCAGTAGTTGACTGACATTTGGTGGCAATCCTTCTGAGGTAGTTGTGTGAGAGGTGATGGACTGTGCCGCCACTGTGATGCGTGTGGCTGTCGGTTGTTGAGAAACTGTCGTCGTGGCAACACTATGGGGCTGTTGCTGCGAGGCACCAACCACGCTTCCCGAACCGCCAGTAACAACGCTGGAATGAATGCTGTTCTGGTTGATTTGTTGGTGAGTGCCGCCACTGCTACTAGTGCCATTGCTGCCACCGCCTCCTCCTCCGCCTCCTCCTCCTCCTCCACTGCTGCTCCCCGAGGACCCTATGGAGGCTCCACTGTTGGGGTTACTACTGCTGCTGCTGCCACCTACTGCTGCACCTCCACTGCTGTTACCGCTGTTGCTTCCACTGTTGTTGCTAGCCGCACCTGTTCCGCTGCTGACATTGCCACTGCTCCCGCCATGGGAATGACCCTGTTGACCAAGATGACCACCAGTTGAATGATTGCTGGCAGCCGAAGAATTGTTTTGGTGCTGATTTGATGTGTTGGATGTTGTTGAATTCACGTGAGGTACCGAAACAGGGGTCAGAACTTGCTGCAAATACAAAAATATTTAGAAAGAAAAAAATTAATATATTTTACTTTTTTTTTTTTAAAAGAGAAGTTTATTTTATCATCAGCTAATAGATTTAGGATATAAATTTTATAAGTTTTTTGAAAAATATAGAATAAATATTGAATCCTCATTAAAGAAGATTTTCATTAATATTTTGAATATTTCTTGAATGTGTGCTAAAATAAGTTTAAAAGCTTGAAGAAAAAGTTAAACAGATTTTCAGATATCTTTAAATGCAAACGTTTATATCGTAGAGTGAATGTAAATTTGATGTATTTAATCTTATCTGTGACATAATAGATTATATAAACAGCAGGTAGGCAATGGTAAATCACATATAATTCTTTTATTCTTTGTTAAAAGAAACTGAGACTTTAAATGAAAATAATTGTTATGCTGGATTGATCTTTTTTCCTTGACTTTACTTTTAAATAATCTGATGAAATAGAGATTCTAAGATTTAATTAGAAGAATATCCCAATCTAATGATTTGATTGTTTACTAAGTTTATTTGAGCTTGCATTAATGTTCTAAACATGGATGTATTGGTCGTGCGAGGGTGAGCAGTTCAGATTAAAAATTGGTAAACAGTGTTCGAATCCCAGTTGAATTTGTTACATTAAATTCCATAGGAAAATTATGAGTCCATTTCTTTCCTGCAAAATTATGGGTTAAATAGTAGGATAGTCTGGGCTTTTCAGCCTTGGTTGGCAACCATTCTAGAAGGAAAATTTTGAATTTCCAAACCATGGTAGATAGAACTAGTTAGCATGAGTACATATGGCCATCTAAGGGAAAGCATACACTGACAGAAATGTACAGAGTACAGAGGTTGGGCCAATCACCCCACCCTTTGGAACAATTTGATTACAGTAAATTCACCAGAAGCCTAATGTGCCATGAGGCACCATGCAGATAGTAAAAACATTCTAAATAATTACTCACTTTTTCATAACCAGATCAGATCATTTTCTCTTCATCTTTATTCTTTCCTACTTTTTTTTTTGAGAATAAATTTTCTGTAGTTTTGTTTTGCATTTTCTAAAAGTTGACAAAAGCCAACCATATTTCCTCAACTGCTCAACAAGGTTTTATATGGGTGGAACTTCATTATAGGTTCTTTTTTTTATCTGCATTATTTACAGTCAGACTAATGTCCTCATCTTTGTTGTTATTATCAAATTTTTTTAGCTGTTGGGCCTTTCAGCCTTGTCAGGTATCTGTCAGTCCAGGTAAACTTCAAGGAATCTTGAACTATTTAGTTAATCTAGATTAAATAAAATTGTAATGTTTTCACTTTGTGGCCCATGTCTGTGAACAGTGGTAGAGAAAGTAAAGTTTAACAGCAAGGCAGTAGCAATAGCATAGGAAGCAATAAAAACTTCAGATTTAAGGCTCCAAGTTCTAACTTAAGAATTGTCCCACAAGACAATATTCTACTGGATTAAAGCATTGGTTCATAAATTTTGTAGCACAATAATTTAGAGTTCTATCCTTGGGCCAGTAAGTATAGATTCAATGGAAACAGGACAAAAACTGAGTTGTACTAAAAAAGAACAAAATAAGATATTCATAGACATAGACAGTGGAATGAGAACAATCTATTGGAGGTTATGTGGATTGACAGATACCTGAAGAAGGCCAGGGGGATAATGCCTGAAACATTGTAATAAATAAACAAATAATGTAAATAACAGTAACTCTATATCCCAGAATCTCAGATATTTTTTGTATGGAATTACAGATTCTTTCAACACAATAAAAGAAATAATGAAGTTTTTTTTTATTGATTACCAAAAGGAAGTTGTTTTTGATTTTTTAACAATTATCTTAGAACATTTTATTATGTTCAAAAACTACAACAGCACTTTCAAAACAATAGAAAAGCATTTGCCTAAAAATTAACTTGTAGCAAGAGACAAAAAATTATCTTGCTTGACCCAAAACAAAAACAGCAATAAAAATTAATTATAAATATAAAAAGAATAAAAGAGTCACATGATCTGATGAGACCGGCACAAGATTTTGTTAGGGTGGGAAAGTCAATATTCCTCTTTTTGCTCCTGGAAGTTACAGTAACAAAATGCACATTTTAGGCTTGTGATAACCAAACAGATAAGTACAAAATTTATATTGTTTTTGGTACCCAGTCTTTTGCAAGTAGATACATACAAACCTTGTATTAAGAATTTTGAATATATATATATATATATATATATATATATACACACACACACACACACACACACACACACACATACATATACACACACACGTGTGTTTTATACAAAGACTTTTGTGTTTTGTTTGAACTTTTCATATATTTATGTTGTTGTATGTTTCATACACTTTAAACAAGGTCTATGCTACATATTCCTGCACAATACTGTAACAAAAAAGGAAGATAATAAAAAATATAGATGCATTTTTCTGAAACTTAGGTTTAATTTAGAGTATCATCTTTATATTTTTGTTTCTAATTCTCAATTTTCACAAACTTCTACTCTTTTTATTTTATATAGTTGAATTTATTTCAACAATACAATCTAAACAATTTCAAAAATACTTAATTACAAAAACAGCTAGTAAGACTCAAGAAGTTGTTTGGACAAATAATCTCATATTTGTAGGTTGCATCACTATATCACAGCTTATGCATTCCTCAGCTGGAAGCTTTGAGGAAGTTCATTAAAAATTTATTCTGACACACTTTAAATGAGCATAGGGAGATGAAATTATACAAAAAAAAATCATCTATTCTTGAGATGCAGTCCAATTTACAGGCTCATATTAATAAATGTTTATGCATTTTAAGTGTGAATGTGCAGACAGGTGTGACAATGGAGCCAGTAGAATACAGAACTTAACGAGGTTCCTGTTCTTGAAAGGAAAACATCACAAACAATTTTGGAGGAGGTGACAACAGCGTATGAACCAGATGTTCCATCGTAGGGTGTGATTAAGTACTGGTATTAGCATTTCAAATGTGGGTGAATTTCAATGGAAATAGTCCCTATACCTGACTGCCATGATCAGCGATTGATGGTTATACAATCCAACAAGTGGAAACTATCTATTGCTGAAAAACCATTTGGGAAATAGTGTACAGGGTCAAGATTAGAGGTGTGTGTGTATGTGTGGAAGGGATCTGTGGAAAAAAAAATCATCCATAAACACCTGTATATGCATAAAGCATCAGTACAATGTGTTGCTTGTTTGCTCACACCTTTCTAGAAGGAAAGCAGTGTCAGTTGCTCCTGTAAAATTTGGCCAGGTCTCAGTCAAAGCAAGAGAATATTTTTAATCTGACGAATTACACAGGATGAAAAGTGGGTTCATTGACCCAGAGACACAAACAAATAAGGGACACTGATTTCTCACCAACCAAAAAAAAACAAGTCTAACCTTCTGTTCAATGATGCTGTTTCTTCTGGAACCAAAATAGTGAAGTGTTTATGGATTTCCTGGCTATAGGTACCATAATAACTAAGGCTTATTGTGCCTCATTGCTGTGAAATTATGGGAAGCAATTAAAAGTCATAGAAGTTGTATGATCAATAAAATTGTCCAGATCTTACAAGAAAATACACCAGTACCCAACTCCCATGTCACACAGTTGGAAGCAGGCTCCTGTGTTGAGAAAATCTCCCCCTCTATTCTGGCAACATCTAATTTCTACTCACCTCTATAAAGTTATATTTGAAAATCACACACTTATAGTATGACAACACACTGATTAAGGAGGTACAGTCCTGTCAGCCGTTCCCAACCATCAGAGTTTTAGAAGAAAGGTCTGTACAAGGGCATTAAATGATAGAAGTGTATAACTGGAGGAAAATCAACTTGCCAATTTTTGTGACTTTCTCCTCCTATCTATCTATCTATCCACTTTGGGCAATTCTTTAATGAACAATTCTCATCTTCATACAACCAAGAAGGATGTGAATATTAGTTTGAACAACTTGTGGAATGATGATAATACAACTCCTTCAAATTCTATACAAAGAGTCTGAAGAATATCTCAACAAAAAAACCAACAAGCATGAATATATTATCTGTCTATATCTCTGAGATGAGGTATTATGATTATTTTATATTCTGTGCTAATAGGAATATATACTTGAAAAACATGGTGGATAGAATAAGTAAAGGTTTATTGTAAAAACCAATACAATAAGAATAAAGGTAACAGTTATGCACAAGGTCATCGCAAGTCAATCCAGTAGCGAGTGCTACTATTGGAAGGTCGGTAGTTTTCGCGTAAGTCTGAGTTGTACTCAACAGATCTCAGCTAGACTCTGTAGTCTGTTGACTTACAGATACTGATAGGTAGTTACTACCTATAGTGTAGTCACTCATGGGGGTGACAGATTATTCCATTACATCAGATTACTTGCATTATTTGGACTGTTATCCTTATCTTAGTTTGAGTGACATATGTAATAATAATGAAGACACACATTGAATGATGTTTAACTTTACTAATATATAGAAACTAACCCTGATTTCCAACAATGATGTAAAAGAACAGGGTTAGAAAGAAGAAGAAATTTTGACCATCCAAAGAGCTGGAGCATGATCCAAATAAACCTTCTGAATGATTTTTGTCACAGTTCTGACACTTGTATCTTTTTGAAATTCATAAAGTGTAATATGGCAAAAGTGCAAGTTTTCATCTTTAAGGCATTCATTTGTAGACAAAACATTAACATTCAATGAAGTTTAACTTGTAACTGAATGATGAAAGGTGACTACCCTCACTGAATCAGTCTACAGATACAGAGTAAAGAAGGAAGCAGTGCCATAAATTTAGTGCTTATTCCAGCCAGCAATTAGACTATAGACATGGAGACCCTCTTAAATCTATATTTGCAACGCAAAGCCATGATGTTTAAATATAGAATCGTATTCACATCCAGTGAATAGAGACTGACACACTTCTCTTTGATATTCAGTTCAAAGATGCCTGTAAAAGATTT